AGGAGAAGCCGGCAACACCAGTTTGGTTGTCGATTTCCTCCTAAACCAATTAAACCGGTTGAAATAAAAAAAAAATAACAAAAGAAAAATATGAAGAGACAAAAATGCATTTACTAAAATATAAAAAATCATGAAAATAACTAAAAGTGTTCAAAAACAATAGTCTGGACTGTTAAATGACAAAAACGATAGTCTGAGACTAAATTTGGAATTGTTACAAAAAACAAGGGACCTCTGGTGAAATTAATCCAAAAGAATACTCTAATCGATAAATATAAAACTAAAAGAACTATTTCGTAAAATTATAAGGATTAAAAAAAATTTATTTTTAAACTATCACCAACAATTTAGTTTGATCTCACTACTACTACTTATTAAATATCTAAGATTTACAAATTTGGTCCACATGAAAATATTTTCTTGTGAGATTTTTTTTTTCTTTCCAAATATGAAGAAAAAGATATATATCTTATCTTATTTAATTTTGTGAAAAATAAATCATTTGCTATTTAACTTGTATACTAATTGCATTCAAAAACTTGTATACTAATTATTTTATTACTTTATTTTCTACCAGCTAAAAAATTGAATCAAGATTTCAAATAATTTTTGTTCGTTACAAAATTTAAATCCAATTCGTCTTCAATTCACAAATAAAACTTGATCGAGGTTAGAGATCCTAAATCCGATCCCGTAATTTATTATTCATTCCATTTGTCATTCAATGTCTCAACTACTGACGGTGCTCCCACTTATCCACGTGCTCTCACTTGATTGGTACGCCATTTATTGCCGCTTTTAGAGAGTCCACGTTGGATGAGTTCACAGTGGTGAGACAGGAAAAGCATCCGTCTCCATGTGTCGGTGAGGAAAGGGTATCAAATGTACTCTTATTAAAATTATAAACTTTAAAATATACTCTTATTAATCGTATCGTCGCATACATGATAACGAAAGTTCAAACTAATTGGTAAATTTTAATCTGCGAAAATCTTCTTCATTTCTAAAATCTTGTATTTTTTTTTTTATATTATTACAATTATGATAAATATTCGTAAATGATTTTGAGCCGTAACCTACAAAAGTGGTAATTGCTTTGCATTCCAACTATCTAAACGGCTAAACAAATATAGCCCTTTGTGGCTTTGTTTAGCTTATAGGTAATAATTATTTCCGCTTATTTTCTCATGACTATTAAATCTTTGTTAGATTTGGTTTCCAGTTTTGTTTTGTCATATTATGTGCAATGTTTGGTTAATGATTAAAAGTTTTAGAAGAATTTGATTTTTAAAAAATTAAAATTTACTGAACTAACTTAATTAGTACGGAGCAATAAATAAGTTTATAAAATATGTGTGTGCGTGCATATTATTAATTTCTTCGGTTAATTGAAATATAATTTAGTTTGATTAATTTTGTAAATTGTATTTTAATTCAGTAAACGATTTGATCAAAATAAAATTTGATTAATACGATTTGAAATTAAGGAAATAATTCTTAAAGGTAGTAACAAATAATATTATTTTCAATGACCAATTGGTATTTTATTTGATTTATGTGGTGTTTGGTTGGACGCTTTTGTATCTTACTATCCTATTTGTTTTTGTTTTTTTTTTTTTTTTTTTTGTTGTTTTTTTGTTGTTGTTGTTGTTGTTGTTGTTGTTGTTATTGGTACATTTGAAGCCCATATAAGCAAGCATTATCTTACCCAAAAGGCTGAATCCCCAACCCTAAGGATCTCCCACTCTCCGACCCGACAGAGCATGTGAGAGGATGTAAATCACAGTAAGCGAGCATTATCTAAGCCTTAAGCTAGGCGTTAGGTCCGAGAAAGCTATCCTGTTTGATTCTAATTACAATGTTTGTTTACCTATTTTTTATACTCCACTATTAGATTAAAATCTTTTAGTAATCATCAGCGTTGCAAAAATTGCACCTAGGTGCTAGACGGTCGGCCTCCTAGATACCTTGCGATTTTTTCAACATTGGTAATCATGAATCTATTCCTCTTATGGTCATTCTCCTTTACCTTTTTATTAATGGAATTAAAAAATGAAGAAAAAATAAAAACAAGTAAAAGCTGTGTGTGTGATGGTTCACACGTGCAAAGAGTCTCCAAGTAAAAAATGTGGTGAGATATGAACCGTTGATCTAATCTATATCAATGGCTCAAATCATTTTTTTTTTTTTTAAAAACATGTTTCCTGGAACTGATACAATCTCATCCCACTATTGTTGAACTAATGCACCTTAATGTTCAAAATTATGCACCTTTTTCAAACTGACGCACCTTAAATGTGAAACTGATTCACCTTAAAAATATCAAACCGATGCACCTTAAATGTCAAACTAACCTTAAGTGTTGAATTGGCGCACATTAAATGTTAAAAATGACGCACTTTAAGTGTTAAATGACGCACCTTACTTTTTAAAATGACGCACTTTGTTGTTAAAATGACGCACATTAAGTGTAGAACTTAGGACATCATCAATAGTAAAGTTTTTTTTTTTTTTTTTTTTTTTTTTTTTTTTTTTTTGTGATTTTTGAGGAGTTTTTGCAAATGTGATTAGGAAAGAGAAGATGAGTAGGAAGAGAAAAAATAAATAAAAAATCTGATTTTAAAAATAAAAAAATTCGTAAATGAAGTAAAAAATGCGCCCAGCTGGTGCAACTGTAGTTCTCACGCAATTTCAGTGCAGCTATCATTTATTTGTGGCGGGTCCCACTTTCTGCAAAGAACCCCATATTTGCAGGACCAACTTTCATCTTCTCTCACTTGTTTCTCTATCTTCCATGTTGGCATTTATTCCTAAAAAACTATGAACAATCCCCCTAATGGGGATGCTCTTATAGATCTTATGTGTATAACTGACGCACCTTAAGTGTTAAAATGACGAACCTTTAGTGTAAAACTTATGCACCTTAAGTGTTAAAATTACGCAACTTCAGCTTTCAATAATACGCAAAATTGTCATAATGCCACTGCATTTTTTTTTTAATTTGTCTTCATTCTGGACTATTGATTTTGACAAGATCAATAACTATGATTATTCTGCATGTTTCACCTGAGAAAGCTTCCGCACCTGATTGTGTATATATATATATATATATATATATATATATATATATATATATATATATATATATATAGACACACACATGTATGTGTATATATATGTATTATATATCGTTATATATTTATTTAGATTACAATTCCTACTATTTACCAAAAATTTTATATAATTTTCCTAACACTAATTGCTAGTACTAATTATTTTTATTTCTAATCGGCTAATCCAGTTATGGTTCTTATATCCCAATCAAATGTGACCTTAATATAACTTTCACAATAAGTTCTAAAGTTCTTCCAAAAGGCTGAATCCCAATCTTAAGGGTCCCCTACACCTCGACCCGACAGAATATTTGGGAGGATGTAAATCATGGTAACTCAACGGAATAAGTTCTAAAGTTCTGTTTTTATTCTTTCGTGGATATCTTATACTTTTTGAAGACAAATATCAAACAAAGAAATATGATATATTTATTCAATATATACTTAAATCATCCACCTGTATTTATATAAAAAAAAATGATATTATTTGGTGAATGATATTGGGTAATATATAACTCCGTATTTCATAACTATTATACGGAGTTATATATTATATTGGGTAATATATAACTCCGTATTTCATAATTAAAAAAAGAAAAAAAACGTGCCTATGACGACAGAATCTTAAAGTAATTCCAATCTAATTCCCGCGGCATTCAACGCGGCATTGGTTTTGGCTTTTCGGTTAATAGTTCTGCTATCCCACTCTTCTTCTCTCTCAAATTATATAAAATAAAAAGAGCCGTACAGTTAATAGCTTATTATTGCAGAACACAGAGTGCGTGATCACATTCTCTCTTTCAGAAACCAACATACATGTCCGCACATACTCTGTATATCGGCTTATGAATATATACAAAGCTCGATCTCGAGATTAAACTTCAAAAGTCGAATCTAAAGAGGTAGAGCTGTGATTTTCTGAGCTGTTTTTGATATGTATGTGTGAACTGAAATGTTTGTTCAATCTGGATTTATATAGTTATGCTGTGTATGTATAGGTGCAGATGCAGTGGACAGGGAAGAGTGAGCTTGGATCTGAAGGGAGAAGTGAAATGAGATGAGAGTTTCGTTGGGCGGAAATTGAGGATTCAGAGATGAAGTTTTACATATCGGCGACGGGGATTAAGAAAGTTACGATTTCGAATTCTCGTTCCGTTGAAGGCGGAGAAGTTTTCGCCGGCGGGATGAAGGCAAAAGGATCGCCCCGTATCGGTCGGCGGATATCTCACAAGACGGTGATGTTTCCGGCAATATTAACGCTTTGTTTGCTTTGTTCCTTTCTCTTCGTCAGAATCGCTTTTCTCTTCCTTGAATCTGCTGCCATTTGCTCCTCCTCTCTCGGTAACTTTGTTTCACTTTTATTTTTCATTTTTTACTTTGAACTTTTTTTTTTTTTTTTTTTTTTTTTACGGTGCGTCTGTGCCTTAAATTTCGCCATGCGGAATACGCAATAATAATAATATTTTTTTTAATCAATTTGCAGGTTGTCTTGGATGGAGATTTTTCGGCGGGAGTGATTCGGCTCTGGTAATTAATTACCTTTCATATGACTAACTTAACCTAGTATACTACTGCATTATTAACGCCATATTGATTCATTTAAGTGCATTAGTGATCATGCTTCCTGTCTATTTCACCATTGAATAATTTTTTAAAATTCTCGTATTTTAAAATTTATTTTTCGCTATCATTAAATAATAAACTAATATAAAAAGTAAATATAAACAGCATAAATCAATGTAGCCATCACTCAAGTGGATAAGACTATAAGAGTGGATTAGAAGTTTTTATCCGAGTAAAACAAGCACGTGAAACTGCTTCGCTGCGAGCCTGCGATACTTGTATCACTCGGCAAGGGTGTCCACGTGGGGCACCTTGGGAATTTTGAGGCTCACAATCTACGTTCACATGTTGCAACTCTTTTTTTTTTTTTTTTTTTTTTTTTTTTGCGGACCAACTTTTTGTAGCGTAGTTGCATTTTACAGAACATACCAAGCTAGACTAGAAAATTCGATTTCAATATTTTTTTCTCATTAAGCTAATTATTAATTGCTCTATTTCACTTGGGGTAAGCTAGCATCGAATTGGGCTTTAAGATGCCTGCCGACAGCCCCAGTTTGATTCTCTTGGAAAGTAGACTTTTCGCATTTTAATAATAATGGACACCCATCATATGGAGACTATTAGAGATGAAAGAGTCAACAATCAACTTTAATTTTCAAATTCAAATCATTCTTGGCCTCAACTTGTGGAATTCTCTATGCTCTTAAATCATTTTTACTGCTCCAAGAAATGGTATAGTACGTAGCTTAGTAATTCTTTTCTTTTTCCTCTTTTTGATGTGGATGTGGGGTGTTAATAATAATAACTTATTCTTTATGTTACTTTTTTTTTTATCCTGCCTAAATTACAACACTAAGTCAACCAATACTTAATTTGATATTGGGTATGAATCTAGGATTTGAAATTTAAGTACAGTTTTTGAGTATTCAATCTTCATGGATGAGCTTAATCAGGAGCTGTCAATAATCAATCTCCACTAGCGAACCTTGCCAGTTGTATAGCAACCTAGCAATAAGTCACTAGATTTTTAGTCCAACTTGATCAGCTTTATCTCTAGAGCAAAAACACCAGGGCAACACTGAGAACGTACGGATTTGCATGAAGTCAAGAATTGGTCTAAATATAATGAGGATAATGCTTCCAACTGGTGTAACCCACTTGAACGTGATAAAAGTTGGTTGGCCATTCTCATCTTTATGCTGTCAGACGTCATCATTAATTTAATTTAGTTCTTGTCTGTTCCTTTTCGTAATGATGTGTGTTTTGCCTAATGGATAAAAAAGCTCAGAGAAGAGCTGACGAGGGCATTGCTGGAGGTCACAAGCATTGATGGTGAGAATGGAATTGGGGGAATGGAGGGTTTAACTCCAGTTGCAGCCTCATTCAATGACCTTGTTAAGGAAATGACTTCAAATAGACATGATATCAAGACCTTTGCTTTCAAGGCTAAAGCTACGGTAACAAACTACTTTCACCACCATTCAAAAAAAAAAAAAAAAAAAAACTACTTTCACCACCTGCACTGTGATTTTGTTGTTTACTTGGTTTTACTTCTGGGTTGTTTCCCTTTATTCATTTACAGTTAACTCTCTGCTTGACCCAATATATAACTTGCTTATAGCAATACATCTAGCTTGCTTATTGTCTTACATTAAAATATTTAATCAATATTTTCTAAATATATTGTACTGTTTTTGTATACAATTCTCACTGTAATATGGTAAGCAACATTTGAAGATATGAATCTTGAAATTGTGTTGCCACATTAAATGAGGGTGATGGTATGCTACTATTTGAAAGGCCATTGAATCAAATCTTAGCCACATATACCTGCTTGATATTGTTTGTGTTGCAGTGTAACTAAGGCCTTGGAAAAATGCTCTAAATAAATTTGTGGGACCATATTTGTTTTGGCATCTTTCAAATACAACTAGGACCAGTTTGTCCTCTCCTACTCCTATGATGAAATTTGTTTTCTTGGGAGCTCTCTGTATCGTTTAGTAGGATAAATGCATCTTGCAGTGACAGACCAAAGTTTGTCTAAGTTTATCTTCCTGAATGGCTGAATATACAGAAAGCTTAGCTCTGAACCTTTTACTCTTCCTGGAATTATGTAACTTGACTTTATTTAATGCTGTCATGATACTTCTTTGAACTTCGGATTCTTTATTACAGAGTATATTATTATTATTATTATTATTATTAGTAGTAGTAGTACTAGTAGTAGTGTTGTTGTTGTTATAGACACAACTACTTGTTCTTTTACTTGTTGATTCCAGCTTTCAGACTTCGAAGTACTTTTTTTTTTTTTTGAAGGCACTTTTGAAGTACTTTTAAGAATTAAGATCTTTAGAAAGTATGTCATATTAATTAACAACTTTTTTAGTGCTTGATTCTTGTTTTGGACCATAGTTCATTTTCAACTAAGCATTTAATGTAGCATATACAGAGTACATTCTATTTTTGGACTTTTGGTATAAATCTGGGATGTCAATTTTATATAAGGTTTTTTTTGCATGCAGTTGCTACTCCACTAAACTGGTAATTTAACTGCCTTCTATTTCAAGGTGACTTGATATGTTAACTGGGGTGCCTTCTGCACCTAGAAAATTGTCAGTGAACTATAAATGTTGATTGATTGTTACAGCACCATATATGATAAATTACTACTTATTAAAAGACAATTACTAACAATAATAACAGTGAATGCCTATTTTGCATTTAGATGTTGAAGATGGAACAGATGGTTCAATCAGCCAGGAAGCAGGAGTCCATTTACTGGCATTTCGCTTCTCATGGTGTACCCAAATGGATGCATTGTCTTTCTCTCAAGCTGGCTGAGGAATATGCAGTGAATGCCTGTGGCACGATCTCGCTTACCTGCACCAGAATATGTTTCCCGCCTCACTGACCCTTCTTTCCAACACGTTGTTCTACTAACGGACAATGTGCTTGCTGCCTCTGTTGTAATCTCCTCTACCATCAAAAGCTCAATGACCCCAGAGAGGATGGTGTTTCATGTAGTGACTGATAAGAAAACATACCACTGCTATGCATGCATGGTTTGCAATGAATTCCGTTAACTCAGCTGTTGTGGAAGTAAAAGGCCTGCACCAATATGATTGGCCTCATGATGTGAATATTGGATTAAGCAGATGCTAGAGATCATAACTTGATTTGGGGCCACAAATTTGATAGAGTCAAGGATGAAGTTGCTGCATTTGAAGATAAGCTTGACAAGGATCTAGATTATCAATGGCCAACCAGCATATCCCTTTTGAATCACCTCCGCATTTATATCCCTGAGGTAATTACTTAATTTCATCTGTTTTTCTGATAAAGGATGATCTTCAATGCTGTCCATTTAGTGAAGATTGATTAGTTACCCAATTTCAGCTCTTTCCAGATCTGAACAAGATTGTATTCTTGGATGATGATACTGTTGTTCAACATGACTTATCATCTCTGTGGGATTTAGACCTCAATGGCAAAATTGTTGGTGCAGTTTTTGATTCGTCGTGTGGATATGGATGTTGCCCTGGAAGAAAATATATGGACTATTTCAATTTCACAAACCCATTCATATCATCCAAGTTAAACTATGATCAGTGTGGATGGCTTTATGGAATGAACATCTTTGACCTCCAAGCATGGAGGAAGGCAAATATTACTGCAACTTATCATCAATGGCTTAAATATGTAAGTGCATTCAGTTCAGCCACAATCAATTGCTTTATTGACTGGCATTTCCAGCATTGCTCTGTGCACCACACTGAGGACCATAGATTGAGCAAAGCTTAAACCTTCACAATAAGTCTGGTTAATCTTTGTATGATTTGCAGAACCTCAACTCTGGTTTGAATTATGGCGTCCTGGAGCACTTCCGCCTGCTTTAATAGCTTTTGAGGGTAAGGTGCAGCCAATTGATCCTTCATGGCATGTTGCTGAATTGGGTGATCGATTTCCACAAGTTGAAGAATCAGTGTTGAAAGCTGCAGCTGTAATACATTTCAGTGGACCAGCGAAGCCGTGGCTTGAGATTGCAGCCCCTAAGATACAAAGCTTGTGGAGCCGAAATGTAAATTTCTCAAATGAATTTGTCAGGGATTGCGGAATTGTGAGCGCAAGAGCAAAGAGGGCGTAAGTCTCTCCTCACTCGGAAAGAAGTTATCAGAGAAATAGTTTGAGTCAGGGGAAGAAGGTATTGCCTTCAGTCTCTGCTTATACTACTGAGATTGTTTTCCTTGTCCATAAAATAGGAATAGATGAAGGTAGCCCTATACAGTCTTGAAATCTGACTTTAACGACATCGATATATATAGCATATGTCATTATGAGTAAATAGAACACTATAATTCTGTTCTTAGTCAACCAATATGGCAATATAATGCTTTAAATCATCGCTTCTTCCTTTTTATGCAAACAGCACCATACAGGACTAAAACATTAAGACATGTATTATGAGTTATTTTGTTTGTGATAGATAGGCGGTCCTTTCTGATTGATGCATCTAGAAGGTAGCAAAGGAAACAACACCATTGTATATATTAGCAGAGAGCTTTAGATGTCTGAACCACTGGAAGGATGGATCAAACAAGAATATTCTCTCTCTAAACCCGATTCAAATTCTTAAGCACAAACGGGCAAGCAGCTAATTAGAGCCCATTGCTGAACTGGAAATAACTTGTTCTTCTGATCTTAATGAACGATTTTACAAAACTATAAAAAAGCAGAAAAATAAACAAGGTGATGCATTCCCATGACAGAATAGATAGCAGACGTACAGATCGACCTGATTGCACTTAAGGTCTTTCCCAGGTCAGTTACCTGTTCCAAATTAAAGCATCATCAGCAGAAAGAAGAAAAAATCATCAAATCATTATATTGCCAATCATGCATCTTTTTGAAGACAGTAAGAGAGCAAATTAAAACACGTACACGAGTTGAAGAGCTGTTTGGTCGTGGCGAGAGTAATGTTGATTAGGCTCGAGGAGAGTTAATGGAAGAAAGTTGTGAGCGTCGTAAGTCTGGGAAGTTGTCATAGTCTCCTGGTATTCAGATCCTGCATCAGGTTCATTTGCTGTTGTGCTCTTTCAAACTCA